GAGGCGTTAGTCAGACGGGAATATCGCAGCTCTTGGCCACCGTTATAACAGTAAGCATTTCTTATAAACAACTTTGTTCTTAACTGTCCATAACTACACAACTAATTTCCTTGTACTAACTCAGTTTTGCCTTATAATTTCAGGTGAGCATGGATCGCAATGCTTTCCATACATTCTGTTTTTATGGCTATTCTTCTGTATGTATTCAGCATTTAACACACTACTGCGCTCCTGTGGTTATTTTGTGGCTTATCGTTACCTGCACAGTCCTACACAGCAACGAAATCTCTGTCTCACTGTGATTGAGCATTCTGCAAGTGCCTCACTTCATACATTCACTACCCTATTATCACCCCTATCCAACTTGTCTACTTCCCGATTTAGAGACCCAGTGCTCTCTCTTGTTAATATATAACACTATAGCAAAACTCAGGCAAATCCCGCCTTAATAGACGACTGATCCTTTCTGCCCCATCCCCACCCTCTGCTACACGACATATCCACCTGATTAGCGAGTTAAAAAAAGCCAAATCGTTTGGGCATAGTCATCTATTTGACTGTCAGGTGAGCCTTTTATTAAATTAATATGTACAAGCACATACAGGTAGATTAGCATGAATCAGAGAAAAAGTCTTATAATACACGAAATTACAATCAGCTATAAAAAATGGTATCCTTATTGGATCTGATCACAGGAAGAGAAAAAAGATTGGAATGTACCCTTAAGAGCTAACAATTATCAACAACTCAGTAAATATCCTGTCTAGCCGCTACGCTGTACAGCTTGCCCTAAGCGGTTCATAAACAGGCTTCTCATTCGTCAGTTGCCGTCCCGCAACAGCAGTTGAGACGGCGGAAGAACCTTCGGACTGAACGAGCGATACGATGTCGTCGTCTTCTAGGTTCTTCCGGAGGACATGAGGAACCTGTAAGAAAGTAAAAACATGTCTTAGATTACTGATATTGTCAATCCAAAAGAACATTTAATTCAGAATTCTTACCATTGTCATCCAGCGTGAACGTTTCGCTTTTGCCGGGCTCACGGTCTTCTGAAACAGGAGTGTTACGTTATTAGCTAGAGAACTGTTCAGAAAAGATATTTTCAAAGGAGATATTTCCACGATATCATTACAGAAGACTCACTTATGCTGCGGGCATGCGTGTCACCAGCCTCGGCGACCGGGCTCTCTAGCCAGTGGACGTGTACATCCGAGGAACTTTCAATTTCAGAGCCAGACTCCGCGCTCATAACGGCATCAACGCTACACAGAAAAGATTCTGCGTTACCGCAATAGCGCCACAAACAGATAATATGCAAATTATTTAACTTACGTTTGACAGGCGACGTACGCTTCAGGTATCCTCACGACCTCGATCTCGGTTGCTGGTGCAGAGTTCGGAGAAAATTCATTAGTTTCTCCCGAAGTTTCACATATCGTCCTGAAATCGTGCATAATCATATTTGACCTTGGACCCAAGAAATAACGAATCATGTAAAATAAAGTACTTGTCACGTAAAACTTACCGCCTCTCACTTAAGTCAACTTGTTCCCTATCAACTACTGTTACACAGTACTTCCGACGATATAGCCGGAAGCGATGGTATATACCGGCCATTACTA